TTTATTCCTAGTGCTAGGTCCCAATCTTCCAGGGCTCTAAGCACGATTAAACTGGGTGGGTAGGAGAGGGGAAGCCCATTCAGATGCAGGGCCAGAAATGGGGCTCCCCATTCTCCCCACCCCTTTGGTCCCAGTCCCCCCTTCTCTGCAATGGGGACGCATAGAGGAGGGACAAAGGGTACTGGAGGCAACGTCATTGGCCCAGGGGAGCCCGAGAAGAGCTGCCATTGGCTGACAGGGCCTTTGAGGCTCTGCCATTGGTCAGGGAGCACACCCCAGGAGCTGGGGACAGGCCTGAGGAGTGATGCCATTGGCCAGGGAGTGGTTTTGTCATAGCCTTTGGCTGTGGAGTGGAAGGAAAAGATCTGGGAATGAAGCCCAGAGGCCAGGAAGATAAAGGACAGGGCAACAGCTGCTGGCCCTGCAAGCCCCCTCCCTACCCACAGCAGTGTGGGCAAAACTGGGTGTCAGGCCCCAGCCAGGGAAACGGAACCCAAGCCAGAGGGCAGGTGGCAAGGGAGGTCCCATGTCCAATCTCCCCCACCCTGGGACTGCCTCTCCCAATGTCCTTCTTGATAGCCAGGGTTGGTTAGGAGCAGCTCACTGCTCCTCTAGCCAGGAGGGCTTCTCAGCTCCTGGAGGCCGCAGCTTGATGTTGAACTGCTGCAGGGTCTGCTCCAGTTGTTTCTGATTCCCAGCAAAGTAGGCTGACACGGCATTGTGGAAGAGCAGCAGCTGCTTGTGCATCACCTTGATCTGGGGGTCCAGCAGGGTCAGCTGAGACTGAACTCAGATGCCCTTCTTGAGCCTGAGCCCAGACCAGGGGTAAATGGACTCTGCTCTGATGGTGCTTTAAGGGTGGGGGCTGACCTCCACTCAGGGAGTCAAAGGATAAGGGTCAGTCTGATGGGAGAAACCTGATTTGATTTGCCCGGGCCTGGGGTTCTGGTACCTCAGCTCAAGGGACGATTTTTTCCCAGTTATGTTCCTGGGACCAGCAGTAAAATCCTCCAACAGAAAAGGGCCAGGGACTAGAGGGTGGGTAACTAGAAAGGTCCAGGAATTAAAGGGGTTGGGGGAAGATCCCACCCGTAAGCCAGGCTGCATTTCCCCATCCAGTGACGGGGAGGGTCTTAGGGGTAGAAGGTCAGAGTTACAAATGGGAAGGCGGGCTAGGGTCAAAGGGGTGGGGTTGGCACCTTGTTTTCTTCCAGGAACTTGAGCTTGATGGCCACATCTCCCCGCAGCTTCTCGTATTTGTCCCGATGGGCCTGGAAAGTGGCCTGGGCACTCTCGAGTCGACCACGCGTCCCTGCATCCCGGGGGCCTAGGCTCAGCTCCTCTAAGTCTGTTCGGTAGGCATCATATTCCAGCCTGGGGAAGGGGTGATACAGGCTGGTCTCCACCCCTGTGTCCTCCACACATACTCTCCTTTCCTTCCACAATTCTTATGACCTCAAACTTCCACCCATGCCAGCCAACTCCCAAAACCCTGGGTCCTGCTGGTGCCCACACCTGGCAGCCTCATACTGTTTGACAGTCATGAGAGTGTCTTCCATGGTCTTGGTGACCAAAGTGTTGATGCTAGAGACAAAGAAGTTCACAGCCCCTAGCAGTGTCTCTCCATTCTTGCACAGCAGCTTCTGTGTCTCTGCATTGTAGCCAAATTCCTCCTGAGGGCAGAAGGGGAGGACAGGCCTTGAGCAACAATTCCTACCTAACTAAAGCTATAGGGCCCTCGTTCCCCTCCTCCCCCAGGAGGAAAGAGCCATCAAAACTGGAACAACCAAGGACTGCTCCAGCAAGGCTCTCTTAGCCAGAAAGTTATTGGGGCCACCCCGGGGATGGCTGGGGTAGGAGTATGGGAGTGGGTTCTCAGATAAGTTCACAGGACGAGAACAGGGAAAGCTAGTGCAGCAGGCAAGGGGCGGGGAGGGGGGCTCTGATTAGGCCGAGCACCGATGCAGAGAAGGGTTACTTGTGAGGCATCTAGTGTGCCGCCTCCCCCACCCCTCCAACTTCTGAACCTCCGTACAAACCCTTAGGCTGCCTCCACAGGTGAGTGCTGCTGGGGGTAGGGCTGGGCCTACCCTGGAGGGGTTCTCCCTCTGGGCTGCAGGAGGGAGGGAGGGAGGCTGAGGGCTGACTGCCTGGGAGGGCCCGGGCCCAGTCCCCCCACCCTCTTTGGCCTGACCAAGGCACCTGAAGCTCTGGGGACTTCTGGCTGAGGTCAGCAAAGGCGTCACCTAGTGCATGCTGGGTCTGCAGCAGGCTGTAGAGGTGGGCTGTCAGTGCCCGGCCCAGCTGCAGGACACTCTCATACTTGCGCTTCGTCTCACGCAGCAACTCAATCTGCAGCTCTAGCTCCAGGTCCACAGTCCGGGAGCCTCGGCCAAATCGCTCTGATAACAGCTGCTTTGTGCACTGATTGGGAAGTGGGGGAATAGGTCAGAGACCCTAGCACCCTGCCCCCCCAACAGGTATCTACCCTAGCATCCCAAGGCTCCTCATCTCAGACAAGGATGGGAGAGTGGAATCTGGAAGATGGGGAAAAGGTACCCAGGGGAAGTCTGGGGAAAGGGAAAGGTGCTTAAATCCCACCTTATATGTGTTGATGCCCCATTTCTTGACGATGTCAAACTTTTCTCCAGCGATGCCCCGAGCCACCTCATCTCCCGGGCCAGCAGGAGTGGTACTGTGAGATGGATGGCGGCCAGACCCTAAAGAACCAAGTTCTTTGACACCAGCCTCTCTGATATAACCAGACGTCTCTGTGGCTCCACCCATACTTCCCACCGACCCCACCATGAAATGACTTTCCACCGACTTCCCACCATGAAAATGACTTCTCTGAAGTAGCAGAAACTAGAAATTCTCCTACTCACTAGGAAGAACTCATACCTTGTGCCCTGAAACCCAAATCCCAATATACATCTGGCCTCTTTCTGAGGTGGTGATGGGGGCTGGAGTGGGGGGAGGGAGGGAGTTGCTGATGTACAGGGGCAGAGAAAACAGAAGAAAATATGCTGAGTATTGGGTGGCAGGTCAAGGATGGTGGGTCCTGACAATAGGAAATCTCACTGACGTTCTCATGTGGAATCCTAGTCAGTGTGAAATTCAGGGCTATTTGCTTCTCTGAACTTGAGAGTCTGAAGCAAAACTCTGAGAAGCTTCAGAGTTCCAAATAAATCTCAAGCTCCAAAGCAGGAGAACTTCTGCAAAACAGTTCTTAATGTGATTCATGTGGTGGCAGCAGAGAAAGGACAAATGGACACATCTCAGGGCTAAATGGCAAACAGGAACAGTTGGACAGCCCTAGGCTCTAGCCTTGGGCTGAGTAGAGTCCATTGGGCTCGTACTAGCAAGAGTTCCCAAAATCTCCAGACATAGTTCAAGCTATCTTAGGCATATCCTATACTCCCCAGAACCATTCCACTCCCTCTGTCCATTCAAGCTTCCTGTCCTGTTCTGATCATTCATACCTGTGGGGATGAGTCCATCACCAGAGCCCCCATAGCCACCAGACACAATGCTGGTTTCATTGAGGTTGGGTCCTGACACCATCACCTGCTGGAGGTCCTATAGGCCAGAGAAGAGGGGGGCTTCAGGAACATTGGGGCAGCTGAAGCATTTGGGGGGTGAGAACAAGCTTGGATTGAAGCATCACAGAGAGAGCACACAAGGGAAGTCTGCATAGAATCAGAATGAAGATATGTAAAGATTGGAGGGAGTTAGATAAGTTAGGGGAAAACTCCTGGAATGGGGTGAGAGCCCAGGACTTATGATTTTGGACTCCTAAATTGAAACAATATGGAGAAGAATCAAACAGAAGCACCTGCTCCAGCCCATCATCCTCAGGAAGCTGCCCAGCTTCACCGTTCCCGTGGATGGGGATCTCCATTGTGGCTGCCTTCCCTAGGATCCCGTCCGTCATGGCTAGGGAAGGGATTGGAGTCAAAGTCTCCACCCCAGCGCCCTGCAAAGCCCAACACAGACAGTTCTGGAAACTAGCCAGTACTCCCGAAAGAAAGGTCTCCCCCACCATTTCAGAGATTTTAGAGGTTGTCCCAAGACTTGAGTATCCTGGGGTTCGGCCACCACTCCTTTCTTCTCATGGATATGTATTTCTCCCCTCCATGGTGTGTATCTTTCCACATGCACACCCAGGTCCCCAGTATCTTCTCACGGACCCCCAACCCCACCAGGACTCAGGTGAGCACGCATGCATTCAACAGACTACTATTTGAGGTCACAGCAGAGGCCAAGGGAGAGAAAGTCTGCCCTGTTTTGGAACTTACCCCCATGCAGCTGTTTCCTCCCATCAGATTAACCCCTTTCCAGGGCTCAGGAGCCTACTCCTCCCGCTCTGGTATGTTCTCCATTGCTTGGCCTCTCACACTCCCTTAGGGCTGCTTCCCCTTTCCTTCAGGTGGTCTCTCCCTCCTCCATCCCATGCACCCCCTCCTCCTGAAGCCCTCCCCCTGAAGGCCCTAGTTGAATCAGTTGGTGTCCGTTCTTGGCCTCTGGGAAAAGCCTCATTTTCCCAGCACATAGTGATCCCTTCCAAAGTCAGTTATGTCCCCCAGGTGTGTTAGTCCCCGCCCCCCCCCCCACACCTGGGCATCAGGTGTGTCCTCATCCTTCCCCAGGGCTCTGTAGCATCTTTCCCTCGGGGCAGGCTCGTGCATTCAACTTCCCCTTGCCCAAGTATGTCCTTCTCACCTCGGGCCGGGCCGCTCTTCCCCTCAGGGCGCCAGGCCCGGGCCGCGCGGGGACCTCGGGCTCCAGTTCCCGTCGCGATCCTAGCAGCAGGTCAGGGACTCGGCGGAAGTGACGTCCCCTCCCGGGCAGAAGAAGCCGGCCACGTCGCAGACTATAAGGGCGGAGATGACGTTAAAGCCAGGGGCGGGGCGATCTTTGAGTCAACCCCTCAGTCCCCGGGGAGCCAGGAGAAGTCACTTCCGGGGCGTTACCAAGAGGCTGTGCGGAAGTGACGTGCGTGCGCCGGTGGCGCGATGGAGCCCCAGCAGCAGCAGCAGCAGCAGCAGCAGCTGAGGAACGTGAGTGGGTGCTAAGTCGCGACGGGGCCGTCAGTTCAGCTGGCATCCTTGTCCGTTTGGCTGGAGGGCGGAGGGCTGGGAACGTCGCGCTGTGGCGCGCCGTCCTGGGAAACCTCGGGGGCGCGGCCTCGAGGTGCCCCCTTATCGCTGGGCTCTTTGTCCCCTTCTGTCCTAGCTGCGGGACTTCCTGTTGGTCTACAATCGGATGACGGAACTCTGCTTCCAGCGCTGCGTGCCCAGCTTGCACCACCGAGCTCTGGACGCCGAAGAGGTTAGGTGGGGAACCCTGTAGGGAGGTTCGCCGTAGACTGTCCCCAACCTCCACCAACCCCTACCTCTGGCCCGGGCCTTTCCATGACCCTTGCCCCTGGGCTAGGGATGGGACGGACACCAATGGACACCAATGCATCACCCTGTCTTCCTTCCAGGAGGCCTGTCTGCACAGCTGTGCTGGGAAGCTGATCCATTCCAACCACCGCCTCATGGCCGCTTACGTGCAGCTCATGCCGGCTCTGGTACAGCGCCGCATCGCAGACTACGAGGCTGCCTCAGCTGGGCCAGGTGTTGCTGCAGAACAGCCCGGAACCTCACCATCAGGCAGCTAGGGAGGGAGGCGCTGGATGGACCCTCAAACTGAAGGAGCCAGTGGACCTTGGGCTGGATGCAGCCCATATATAGAGTGAGGGGTTGTCTGACAGCTGGGTACTATTGCTCCTTTTCTTGGAGCCAATAAACCCACTTTTGCACTGTTTGATTTATGTTCTGGGCAAGGAAGCTTTGCCCGCTTTATTGGCCCCATCCTTTATCCTGTCAGCGCATATCTGTTGGCTTCAGCCCTGGCAGTGGAGAAATTGGCTTCTATGTGTAGAAGGAAAACCTCAACATTTCCTGGCACCTGGTTAAAACAAGGCCTGTGGGTACAATTTTTTCTTTTTTAAAGAGTTTATTTATTCACGAGACACACAGAGAGCGGCAGAGACCTAGGCAGAGGGAGAAGCAGAGGCTCCCTGTGGGGAGCCCGATGCTGGACTTGATCCCAGAACCCCAGGATCCTGCCCTGAGCCAAAAGCAGACGCTCAATGGCTGAGCCACCCAGGTGCATCTTATTTAATTCTTTTTTTTTTTTTTTTAAGATTTTGTTTATTTATTTATTTGAGAGAGAGAGAATGAGCAGGGGGAGGTGCAGAGGGAAAAGCAGACTCCAGGCCAAGCAGGGAGCCAGATGCAGGGCTTGATCCCAGGGCCCTGGGATTGACTTGAGCCAAAGACAGACGCTTAACCAACTGCACCCAGGCACCCCTGTGGTACAATTTTAATGTTAGTAATAGCAATAGGAAGTTGGTTCCTGCCCAGATGGCAGAGAAAATAAGAGCTCTTCTTGTTGTCCTTCACTTAAATCTGATTTAATGGTTTATTTGTGAGCTGGGTGTGCATTCATTTATAACTCTTTTCATGGGCTCTAAAGAATTCTACTAAATTTAGGGGAAGGAGGAGATACCCAAGAATAACAGATCAAGAAATCACAGGGTTTTTGTATGCGGTGCCTCCTGGAAAGTCAGTAGCCCCATAACTGAAATGAAACCTGTAAGATTTCGGGGTGTTCTGGAACTTCAGCCATTTTCCCAAGTTGTTATTTTCTTATTATTTTCTGTCTTCCCCAGGATGAGCAGTAAAGCTTTTACACAAGAAGGTCTGTGTGCTTGTCTTCAGGAGCAGTCAGAAAGGGGGAACTTGGAGGACCATATTCTACAATATAGCCAGACCCAAGGAACAAAAGCTCAGGGGAGAAATAGATGATGATGGTTATGGGGAAAAAGATAAAGCAAATCCTTGGGACCTCTTTATTGTTACCTGCAAGTCTATAATCTAATTCCAGCTCTTCTGTCCTCTACCCTACATTGTTTTCATTGTCCCGATTTTGTTATTTCCATGCTGAGCCTCTCTATCTTTCTCTCATTTATTGCCCTCATAAAATTTACTTGTGTCCAGCATTCTAAATGGCCTATCACCCCATCACCAGATTTTCTTGCTTCCCTTGTGTCCTTTTTGTATCATTCCAGCTATTTTACCTTTTCTGTTCTTCCGTTCAGACTGCTAGACAAAAACACAGCTGTGTAATGAGCGGCACTAACCATTCAAGGTCTCCAGCGTCAACCAACAAGCAACCCTTTGTGGCTTTCTGGTATATTTTGTCTCCTAATCACCAAGGCAGTTAGTTTACACCTTCACTGCTCTTATCCCCCATTTCACATTCAGCTACCCCCATCAGGGGACCGTGTTTCATTTTTTACAGAAATGGAAGCTCTTAGACATTGGCTCCCATAAAACTCCTTACAACTACCCACAAAGCAGACATTTTTTCCCCTATGTGGATCAGGAAGTTGAAATTCTCTAGTAGCAGACCCTGTATTAAGATACAGATCTGACTTTAAAATCCATGCACTTTTGGGCAGCCCCAGGGGCTCAGTGGTTTAGTGCCACCTTCAGTCCAGGGCGTGATCCTGGAGACTGGGGATCGAGTCCTGCGTCAGGCTCCCTGTGTGGAGCCTGCTTCTCCCTCTGCCTGTGTCTCTGCCTCTCTCTCTCTTTGTCTCTCATGAATGAATGAATGAATGAATGAATGAATAAATAAATAAATAATCTTTTTAAAAAAAATAAATCCATGCACTTTTTATTACACCAGGCTGCCTCTCCAAATATCCATTGAGCCATCCGATTTGTATGGGTTCCAGTGCTGGTATATGTCCTGCTTTATCTCAGCCTTTTTTTTTTTTTTTTTAAGATTTTATTTATTCATGAGAGATGCAGAGACAGAAGAGAAGCAGGCTCCCTAGGCTGCTGCAGGACCCTGGGGTCACACCCTGAGCTGAAGGCAAATGCTCAACCACTGAGTCACCCAGGCATCCCTATTTTAATCTATAGCAAAACTACAAGTAAGAGATATTATCCCCCGCTTAATGGATGAGGAAGCAAGAATCCAGAATGTATCAGAGCCCCGTGTTTACATAGTTACCTCTTGAGAAAAGTTGCTCCAAATAGCTTTTCATCTCTTTAGTTCCTATATCTTCAACAGATGGTTGCTAGGAATGTACAAGCTGCTGACCAGGAACTTCCCTACTGAATGGGTTTGTGTCTACCCATTAAAATTTTCTCCTTGGAACGTAAAACTTCAGCTAAAGCAGTTTGTGAACTTAACCAGTTCCAAGACAGGAATGGAGACCTTGAATACTGTGCTGCTGGTGGAAGGACTCTTCCGTGGACATTTACGTGTATCCTTGCAGTAAATTTCCATTGCGAATCATCTGTTTCCATGTCACATAATTACTACTTGCTGGAGAAGGGCTGAGAACAAGATCTGTCTTGACTCTAGAGGCTATGTTCTTTGAATTTCCAGAATTTATATTTGTTTGCTCATGTGCACCCAGCCTGTCCCTAGGGATGAAAAAACAAGTATCCATCAATTAATCCCTTAAGTTTTTAACCTCTTCTTTCCTCTCTGTTTATAAATACGTTCAGTACGTAGAAGAACTCTACTGTTGCTACCTATCTCCTGTAGTCATCGACATCTTCCTCAGGTCTCATCATAAAGTGACGTCCATTGGTGTAATGAAAGCAGTGTGATGTTACAAGCATAACACAAGAATTTTTTTTTTTAAGATTTTATTTATTTATTCATGAGAGACACAGAGAGGGAGAGGCAGAGACACAGGCAGAGGGAGAAACAGGCTCCATGCAGGGAGCCTGACATGGGACTTGATCTCGGGTCTCCAGGATCAGGCCCTGGGCTGAAGGCGGCACTAAACTGCTGAGCCACCCAGGTTGCCCACGACACAAGAATGTTAACAAAGCTTTATCCCTTATCACATCATTTTGGAGACAGAGTTGATGTTCTTGCCATTGTGACTTCAGAACTTAACTGCCTATTCCTTTGCAAAATCAGATTCCTTTGAGCCTATTGAAATATACTACCCTTTCTCATTACTGGTCCTTAGGAACCACTGCTCTCCTACTATCTTCAAAATGGCTAGCCCTTGGTTTTCCTATCAGCCCCTTGGTACTTTAATGTTACTGGATAGTCCATTAAGTATTTTGGTTTCTCAGTCCCTTTTCTCAGTCTTCAATAATTTCCACTCTGTCTTATCCACCCACTCCCTTAGCTATGTCCTAGCCATTGTCATTTCCCCCAAACTGCTCCATCTTTAATACACTATTTACTGACTATTCCTTCCACTTTGTTTATTGATTTATTCCTTTACTATTATTCTTTGGTTTTGCTGGAGCATTCAAACCATTGATTCTACCTTCATTCCATTAACACCTCTGTCTTTAGATTCCTATCCAGCTTAAATTCCAATCATTCTCTTGGAACAGGCTACTCCTGTTTTTTTGTCATCTCTTTGTTGGACTCAGATAAAATGAGGTATTTGTCTGCCTGCATTTGGACAGCTAAAAGCCCAAGGAAATCACTACAGAGCAGATTTATGTCACTGAATTTATGGTTACCAGCATCAAATGGAGTCTCAACCCCTATAATCCCACTAGATTTTTCCAGTCTCCGCTGCTCCCTGCAATGACTTTTTTGAATCAATATTCTTAAGCCTCTTATTACCCTAACTATTCTCTTCAGTTTTGTGCAGGTAACTTTATTTTTTAATTCATAGGTTAAAAAAAAAAAAAGCTGTCAGTTGGGAGCTACCACAAAATCTCACAACAAAACTTGGTCACCCACCTGTATCTGCATCTTTCTCTCATTCCCTCCATCTAAGCAGGGCAAACATGCCAATGCCTATTCCTGCTCTGAATTCTAGTCCTTCCTTCTTTGGGAATCTCTGACTTTTTCCTATTTCACTCTATTCTCACCATCGTTCAAACATGCTAAAAACTCCCCTGTTACAACAAACAAACCACTTCCTTTATTCCTCTCTAGGTACTATCTATTATTTTCCACCTTACAGTTTAACTTCCTAAAACAGTTGGATACTGTGGCTCTTCCCATTCCCATTCCTCCACCCAGTCTATTTTGACATCAATTTTTATTCTATTGAAATTGTTCTTGATGAGGTCACCCTGGCCCACCAAATGACTTTCATATCCCTGAATTCAGTGATGATTTCCCAGTCCTCACTTCATTTCTCAGTAGCATCTGGTACAATGGACTAGTTCCATTGTCAGTCTTTCACTGGCGTCTGATTCCACTCATGGTTCTAGTACTTTCACCACAGCTTTATAGCCTCCTTTGAGGATCACCTGCTTCCAGCCTTTACATCTAAAGGTTTCTCTAGGGCCTGTTAGACGTTTTTCTAGGACAGTGTCCTCCCCACTCAGCTTCAGTTATTCATGCCTCCCAGATCTCTCCTCTGAGCAACTTGATTGACATCCCCACTTAGATATCTCAAAAACATCCCCAACTCAAAGGTTTTCCTCATCAGCTTTCCTCCAATACCTAGTACTTTTCCAGTTGCAGAAGGTAGAAACCTCACTCAGTTGCCAAATTCCATCTGTTTACATTTTACATTTCTAAATATCCCCCTTAATTTGGTCTGCTTCTCCCCATTTTTATAATCTTCCAACAGGGTCACTGCAATTGCTACTTTACCTCACATCCACTTCTGTGTCTCTCCAATTTATTCTCCAAACATAGGTCAGAAAACTGATGCTTAAAACCTCACAGTAGCTTCCCATTCTTAAGATAAAAATACATTCTACACATGATCTTTGAGACCCTGCATGATCCGGCCCCTGCCCACCTCA